AAAAAATTTAATCAGGACCGTTTCTGCTCTCCATTCCTCACACTGTTTAGTGATCTTAAGGGATCAGCTTCTCTGCCGGCTACAGGGCTGTCCAGCTGTCCGGAAGCTCTACCTGGCGGACTGCACAAGTGGCTCGCTGTGCTTCCCTGGTGCCTTATGGGACTAACGTCGTAGTCCACTGCACCCAAAGATACTCAAAGGCCAAGAATCACTTCATTCATTCACTAAACATTAGCAGTTTGAATTATTATTGGTATTTTTCCAAGCTCTCAGCTAGGGCTCCAGAAAGAAAAAAAAAAACAAACACTAATAAGAGAAAAACAAACATAAGTTTATTAACATGCATACCTCACAGATCATGGGGGCTCTCCAGGGAGTAACTGATCCCCAAACAAGTGGCTCTGAACTCAGGCACATAGAGCATCATCAACAAAGCATAATAAAAAGTGGCAGAGAAGTAAAGACAAAAGGAGCCTGAGTCTCACACAGTACTAAGTTGTGATTAAGCAAACACATATGAAACTAATGGTAGGACAAGGGCAGTGAGTAAAGTTTATGACACAAACCTCTGACTTATGGTCTGACTGTGGTGACTCGCGTCTGTCCTTCTTTGTAGAGAAGGAGGGGCATATTTTGTAAATTTACATCCTGATTTTAGACAACCAACACAAAGGCAGAGGGTTTTTCTTGTTTCTCCTTCTCAATCACTTCAGCTCAAAATAATGTTCATGCAAAGGCACATATGGGAGTGGCCCATTCTGCTGCCTTCCATAACCTGTGAAAGGACAAGGAATTTAAAGAAAGACATAGCATCTTTGAGCTGAGCCACGTGGACATTTCCAGGGCAGCCCATCTGCAGCCCTGGGGCCCTGCCCTGCACCACCACCAGCGGAAGCCTGAGCCACTCTGTCCCACCCCCATGTCCACCTAGGAGAAGGCTGCCTCACAGCTGCCCATCCTAACACATTCAATAAAGGTGGTCCAGAAGTGACCTGCGCCAAAGAGAAGTTAAAGTGCAGCCGAGGAAAGCAGGTGAGCTGACACCAAACGGGAGCAACCTCTGCTTCTTCCCTGAGGATGCTATTTTACGGCAGGAAAACCACAACAGCCAAGGCACAGTGAGCCGTTCTGCAGATGACAGTTGGAAGCATAACAGCAACCATTTGGAAAGTTGGCTCCAATCTACCCATGCTGCTAGAAAACTACTTTCTAGGGAAAAAGAGTTCCCCACAGACTACATAATCCAGGCTGGCTTGATTCCAAACTTCCTGTTCTTCTTGGACAGAATTGACTAGTTCCACCCAGCTTGAATCCTCCTGGGCACTCAGAACTCAGCTTCTGGGACATCCACACACAGCAAGGCTGTGGTGGGCATAGGTGTTTTTACAGCATGCATGTCTCCATTAACATTAGCCACCAGTGACCAAGTATGGTGCAGCTGACACACAAGTGGCACCTCTTGCAGCTCCTGAGATGTCATTGTTAGTGTGTGTTTAGATGGTCTTACACGGACACTGAACCCTTTGTCACAACAAGAACGCTGCACCTCTGTTAGATTAAACTGAGTGACTTCTTCCTGCTCTAATTCACCTGTTGCATCAAAGTGACCCAGAAGGATTCACAGATAGCTGCTGGGCTATTTCTTACCTTATGGTTGGTCTGAATGAATGCACTGGAATAGTGGTGAAAACAAGAGTCTGCAGCAATTTGTGAAGCTTCTGGAAGCTCCTGAATGTATGATTCCTGTACTAAGAACCATACAGACGACTGAGGGACAGGGAACAGATGAACAGATAGAGGTCGCGGCAGACACAGGAACACTTGCTGTCTTGCCCAGCCTGCTCATTACCCCAGAGCTAATATTCAGAAGGAAGCAACATGGGCAATGGCAAACACCACAGCTGGCTGTCCAGCCCATACATGAGATGTCAGGCTTGCATTCATCCCATCCCTCAGTGGCATTTCTCAAAGACAGACTTTAAGATACAAAAGGACTTGGTAGTTATGATCAAACTTAATACAAATGGTAGAAAAGCTGAACAGATAGTATACCATGTTTATTCCAGCCTGGGAAACTTAGGAAGATGCCAACTCAAAATTTATGAGTAAGTAGATAAACCACAGCCAAAAGGTATAGTTCAGTGATAGAGGTCAAATACACATGAAGCTCTGGGCTGAATCTCAAGTACCAAAAAAATTATTATCTAATTAATTTAAAACTGTAGATACAATGTCTTATAAAGCTGAATACATATAAATTCTCTCAAATGTCTAGGGTAGTATGCCTGAAAATACAAGATTTAGGAGCCTGGGAGTTTCCTGTAAGAATAGAAGATTTGTACTAATAGTGTTTAGACAGGATATCATGTCTGCATCTTGTACTATGAATAACCACTATGAAGACAATATGCAATGTATTAATTATAGAAACTGTCTGACTAATAGGTTTTGAAACTGTCTCACTACTATTTCTCAATAAAATTGAAAAAAAAAAAAAAGAAATTTGCTAACTAAACAGGACAGCAAGGCAGCAGCTGAGCCCAACCCTAAGCCATGTACAGCTTTGTTTTATTTTTAGTTTTCAGGTAGGACCACCATGGGAACAAAGCAAGGTTTTATAGAGTTTTCATGTATGAAACCAGGTGTAGGTTAGGAAATCTGATCCTAAGAAATAAATCAAGAAAGAAAAAAAAAAATAGAAAAACCACAGGCAAAAGGATGGAACATTTAACTTTAAATGGTTCCCTAAATTAAGAGTTCAGAGCATAATAAAGAAACTACTTGACAGAAAATTTAAAAATATGAAAGGGATTCTCACATTTATTGTTTAAAACATTCTAAGCACTGTTCTGTGTGCCTTACACAGATTAACTCACTTCATTTTAACAACTGCATGAGGTAGTATTATTGCTTGCGTCTACGGATGGAAACATTAAGGCCTAGAGACTCAGCTAACTTGCCCAAGGTCAAAGGCCAGCTGTGGCTCAAACCTAGCCAGGCTGACATTAGACTGCACAGCCAAATGAAGTAATGGCCTGGAACACAGAAAGACAGTGTACCAGGAAAACTAAAAGAAACCAAGGCAGGCTAGGGAGATAGCTTGGCAGTCTAAGCACCTGCCTGGCAAGCATAAGAACCCAGTTCGATCCCAGTACCACCTGCCTGGCAAGCACAAGAACCCAGTTCGATCCCAGTACCATATGCCATGCCAGCCCAGGAACCAGGCATGGTGGTGCACCCCTGTAACCCCAACACTGGGGAGTCTGAGAAAGGAGGATCACTAAAGTCTGAGCTGTGTAGTGAGACCTTGTACCAAATAAATATTTTCTTTTTTAGGACTGGCCAGATAGCTCAGCAGACTAAAGCATCTGCTTAGGCAGACTGCAGTGGCTTGGGTTCGATCCCGGGTGTGTCATTCCAGCCCCCCCCCGGGGGGGGCATGCTGAGATGGCGATTGAGACTAGGCATGGTGGCACGCGTCTGTAATCCCAGCGCTTGGGAGGCTGAAAACCGAAGAATCACTACAAGTCCAGTGTATGTAGTGAGACCCTGTACACCCCGTCCTAAATTCATTAAAAAAAATTTAAAAAAAAAAAATGTTTAAAAATGCCGAAGGAAAACACCTTGCAGTAAGTTATTCAGTTGCTTAGCTAAAACTAAATGTAATGCTGTCAAAGTTTTTGTTCTCAAAAGCTATGCTACTGATGCTACTGTTGTACTTTAGACATCCATCTTTTATTCAGAAAAGAGCCTACTAATTCAACAAGTGTTACAAACAGGACTTAGGGGTTACACAACTGAGGACCAGAATGGAGAATGATATCCCTGTCACCTGAATGTCAAAAATCATGAATAATTTCTTTCCTCTTTCACAACCAATATTCATGCTACCAAAATGAAAACTTCCAAAGCTTGGCTAAAATGTGTCCACAAACTATAAAACCTTTAAATATCTCAAGAAGATGCAAAGAGGAGCTGAGGAGATAGCTCAGTGGTCTAAATGCCTGCCTGGCAAGCACAAAGATCCAGGTTCAATCCCCCAGTACATGCTGTGCTGGCCGGTCGCTGAAACCAGGTGTGGTAGCACATGCCTGTAATTCCAGCTCTAGATTAAAAAAAAAAAAAAAAGATGAAGAGAACTAAGTGAGATTGTGATGTATGCTTCAAGCTTAGTATATTGTTCCTTTTAAATAACAACTTAGTATATCTTTACACACATGAAATTAAACCTGATACCACTTACAGAATGAACAAATTTCAAAAATAACCCTCTTTTCTTTGATGAAATCAGCAAATAAACCAGCAAACCTACCAAAGACTCATTTCAAACATTTTATTGAGTAGATAAAACTATGTAGACAATTTATCAACAATATACTTTTCTAAAAATAAAAGTAGACAAAACATTTTGTGATTCAATGTATATGAAATTCCAAACAAGCAAAACTCCTAACAGAAATTAAATCATGATTTGTCAGGACCCAGGATAAGGAACGAGACCAGCTACAATGGGACAGGTGAGAGGGCTAGTGGGGAATGGGAAGGCTTCTGGGCATGATTATGGTGGTAGGAGGACAACTATCCATGTTTTCAAAACTCATAAACCCTCTACTACACATTAGAAAACTGAATTACATAAATACTCTACCTCAACATTAAAAAAGATTATATATAATAAATCAGCATGCTTTTTAAAATATTTTTATTGAGAAACAAATAGCAATGAGACAGTTTCACAACCGATTACTAGTACATTTTCAATAATTAATACAGTGCATACTGTTGTCTTAGTGGTTATTCATTGCACAAGATGCAGACCTGATATCCTGTCTCAAACACTGTTAGAACAAACCTCTCTATTCACTGAATTAAGAGAATGGAGCTGTGTATCTATCCTAATTATCCTGAGTATACAGATACAATTTTGTATCAGCATGCTTTTCAAAATATCATTTCAGTCAAAGCACTTCACTTAGTAGGGCCTGGGTGTAGCTCCACAGTATCCACGGCATGAGCAAGGCTCTGGATTTCATCTCCACCATCACAAAAGAAAAAAAAAATTTAATACAGTAGAAAAATAATTATTTGTAGAAAATGTGCAAATAATACATACCTTTTCACAATTATAAGCAGTGTTTCTAAGAACTATCTTTTATTTTTGTTCTAGCAAAACCAGCAAGTACTTGAAAAGTAATCTTGAGTACAATTAAAATTCTCTGAAACAGGCACACAGCCTCACTTCCGGGAGGCTGACTTGGCAGCCACTGGAAAGCTGCTCCACAATCTTGCTTAACACCAGAGCCCACGCGCACGTCCTTCGGGGTCTGCTGACCAACAGCATGGAGTGAGCAGCAGCCCCATGGTAACCCAGAGACTGACAAGAGTCAGCCACCATGAACTGGCTGCACAGGCATGTGATGGCAGGCAAGAGCCAGGACCTTGGAATACCAGCAGCTTCTGATATTCAGAGAAGCAGAAATCTGGACTCCAATGGAACGTTTTCTTGGTTGATTTGTTTGGCCCAAACAAAACACGGGCAGGACTTCAACCTGTGGTCTGCAGGATGATTTCAGAACTCAGCAGCAGCTGTACTGGACCTCGCTCCCACTGCTCGCCCCCTCACTGTGGTCCACAATGTCACGGGGTATCAGTGCCACAGAATAAAGTCTGTTCTAAGTGACACGAAGGCTGCTCGTTTCTGATCAGTACCAGAAACCCAGATGCTATGGGTCAGAAAAGGGAAAAGGAGGAAGCAGGGAGAAGCGCCGAGAACAGCAGAAAGCACCGCTTTCGGCTCACATCAGCACCCAGACTCCAAAGCAATGAAATAATCCACGTGCTGAAATTTGAGGACTTCATTGCCCCAGCTGGTCCAACCTGGCTGTAGATTTCGAGCAAATAATTCCAAACACTCCCCACCTGGCTTGATGTAGTCTTTCAGAACCTCTGTTGAAAAAAGAGAAAAAAAATACTGTCAGGAAAGAAATCTATTTCTTTTTAGCATGTAAGAGTGAAAAAGAATATTTTATTTTTTAAAAGCAAATTAATGTGAAGGATACTATCACAGGCTTTACTATTTATAGTCTGAAAACAATGTGAAGTAAGCCTCCACGAGGCTAGGCACGACACCTCCAGGACGTCCTGCAGTCCTGATTTACTGGCTTCCACTTCTAAGTGGGAAGTGAAGTTTCAATCACCATGCAGGTGACTACAGCTCTCCAACCCTGCTGGCATCTCCCAAGAAGTTACTTAATAAATCTAATCCAGGCACAAAAAAAGAACTCTACAGAAGCAATACAAAGATAATCCACTTTAAACAGGTAACATGTATGCCTCTTTGTAACATCCACTGCAGAGAAAGAGAAGTAGAAAAGATAGTTGACAAATGACTATAGCCCCCTCAGCTATAACTTGGTAATATTAAAAATACTCCAGCATGTTCAAATTTTAGATCTTTACCTAAAATTTTACCACATTATGTCCACAGTGAAGTAGTCCTTATTTACATATTATCTATTAGGTGGAAAGTTACATTTCGTTGGGGAAAGGTACCTCATTTGTTGGCTAAACAGCTCTGACCTAGGCTAAATGAAAGAATACCAGGGGCTGGGGAGACGGCTCAGTGGAATAAGCGCTTCCCTGGCAAGCGCAAGGGCCTGAGTTCAATGCCTGGTTCCGCAAAAAAAAAAAAAAAAAAGAAAGAAAGAAAGAATACCAGAGAAGGCTTTTTTAAAAAACACAGCTGAGATGGATGACAAATACTAAGACAGCCAAACTTCAATCATGTCCTGGTTAGCTACTTTAACCACATATCAGGCACTGAGTATAAAAATAATAACTCAGAAAAGTAAAGGACTAGAACAGCTAAAATATAGTCTGTGATTGCTGCATGAGGCTGAGTTCAGCAGAAACCTCTCACAGTCCCTCTAGGAATGACAAGGCTTCCACGGGAAGCGCTGGCCCAGGAAAGCTCTGAAAGGCCACGTGGCCCGTATTTTGGGTTCCATAGTGCTCTTCCATTGCTCTCATGGCGAGATACTTGCTGAGTTGCCCCAAAGTAGTGTTACTGTTTATCAAAATTCAAAGAAGAATTAAAAGTGTTTAATTGTTATAATTCAACTGAACTCAAACTTGGACTTTAATAGGTTCTAAAAGATATTGGCATGAAGGAAATCTTGTCCTTTCATAAGTACATAATTAAATGCTACTAAACTATAAGATAATGATTTTTCCAAGCCTTTCCGACTTTCTTCCCATAAATTCAAAGCCTTACCAGCCTCCATTCACTTTTACTAGTCTAAAGTATAGAGATAAGTTTTTTCTTTTTTATTAGGGTATTCAAATTTTTGGCACAAAGATGCGAAAGGAACTTTACATGGGAGTCAGCCAGCCAAAAATGCTTACTCTTCTGGGCACCCATTATAGTCAGTGCTAGTGGACTTAGAAGCACTACATGGCTTACAAGGGCTTACAAACCAAGGCAGAAGGACAGCCACCTGCATAGAGCCTAAACCCACTTAGTACCATCCTTTCTCAATGTCATGTATTTTATGTGGGGTTTTTTCTATTTGTTTTCTTGGGGGTTTTTTTGGTTTTTTTGTTTTTGCTCCAAATGCCTTCAGGGCAGGTTTGGCTGGATTGAATTGTGGGAATTGAACACCAGCAACCTGAGCTTGACTCCTTTGTTGAAGAGCCACTTAAAGAACTGAGCTAAGGGGCAGGCCCCCGGTTTTTGCTATTTGAATAAAAAAAATCAAATACTATTTTTATAACATTAAGATTTGTTTTATTTCAAAACAAGGTGAAAGAAATAAAGGCTAATTAAACCACATATAGTGGTGCCCACTTGTAAAACTAGCACTCTGGGAGGCCGAGGCAGGAGACCACAAGTTTAAACCCAGCCTGGGCAACTTAGTGATACCCTGTCTCAAAAACAAGCTGAGGATGTAGCTTAGTGCAAAGCCCCTGGGTTCAATCTCCAGGGAAAGAAAGGGGGTGAGGGGAGGAGAGAGAAAGAGGAAGAAGGAGAGGGAGAGGGAGAGGGAGAGGGAGAGAGAGAGAAGAGACATTTTATTCTTACCAATTTAAAATAACCAAATATAATTAAGTAAAGAAAATAGCAACCTAAAAATAAATACAAATGCATACGGTGAACCACCAACATGATACACACATAGCTAGACAGTTCCAAACGCCTGGCATTAGCAAAGCCTCCAACCCCAGAAGGGAGCAGTCAGTGCACAGCCACGTGCTCCTTTTGCTCCGGAAGCACAGGGCAGGAAAAGGGGAAGAGACATCAGTGCTCAAAATCTCAGAAGCTACATTTCATTCTTCAGCTAGAAAGCGTCAGTAAATAAAGTAGAAAAGAGAGTGAAAAAATCTCTAATATAAAATAAAGGAATCAAATTTTTATGCAAATGCTTCCATAATTTTCCTACCTTAAATCCTTAAACTGAATATGCAGTTATAGTGTTAGACTGTAAGCCACAGCTACTAATGCTTTAGCTTTTGATCTACAGGAGCAGACTTCATAAAGGTACCCCTTTGAAATGGAATATGCTGCCAGTGAGTTGTTTCATGTAATTTTTTTTCTATTTTGCAACAGAAATAACAAATTAAACTTTAAAAAACTCTTGGTATTTCTAACAAGCCGAAGAAAGTATTTCATTGTATGACTATTACATAAAGAGTTTAAGAACATTTATAGGTAAAAGTTGTAAGCACTATATCTAAAGTATGCATTATGCAAATCCCTAGTAACAATTTCAGGATAAAATAGGCACAGAAATCTAAAAGTTGTCTGATGGCTTTAATGTGTAGCTCTCTATACCTAAAATACATATAAGAATGAACTCAAACAGTATTACAAATATTGTCTATCATCTATTTAACCAAAATATATAGTGAGTTATTCAGATTTTTTCCCCCTAAAATGCAGCTTATGCTTTTAAATGTACTTAATTTTAAAAATGTGTTTATGCTGCTCTCTTCTGGAAGTACAGAAGAACTGTTTCATACCTAGCAGGGCATACTAGTTTGGAGGAAGACAAATTTTTAATATTTTTTAAACTTTTGTCTTAAGAATTATCTTTAAGTATAATTTCATTCTATTTTAAAGAAACTGGTAAACAGCCAAACTATCATTTAACAAAAAAAATATGGGTTCTTAGGTTTTTTGTTTTGTTTTTGACACGGGGTTTTGGTATGAAGTTCAGGCTGGCCTAGAACTCACTAGGTAGCCCGGGCTGGCCTCAGACTCACAGCAATCCTTCTGCCTCAGGGCCCGGCATGCTGAGATTACACATGTGTGCCACCATACCCAGCTGTTTTCAGATTTTCTTAAAAGTAAATATAAACCCTGAAACAAACACCAACTTAAGTTTTAGAACTCACCAAATGAGAGAAAATTCAAACAGATTAGATTTCCCTAAAATCAGTATTTTTTGGCCTCAAAAAAATCTCACTTTTCACACAAGCCATAAACTTAACACATTAAAGCATTCATATATCAAAAATCTAAAGGTGATTATTCACTGAGAATCCCTTTAAGTCAAAAAATATATGCTCACATGAACATCTGAAGATGTCTCAATGGAAGAAATTCTAAAAAAGATGCCTTTGTATAAGTAATTTAAGATAACAGAAATACTGAGTGCCACCAAAATATTTCTCCTGAAAAATGTTTTCTTACACTAACTCATACACTATCACATTTTCTACAAAAATAAGATGACAAATTACCTATAATTTTCCTGAATGGGACCTTTCATATGTGTTTTGGCTTCATTTTTCGGTAGGAATCATCAAATAATAAAATACATTCCTGAGGAAATGCTCTGAGAAACTTCAGGAAAGTTCTGAAGGAAACTTGGAGCCCAAAGGGAAAACAAGGTGACAGACACCAAGGCAGAGGAGAGAGGTGGCAAAGAGCATTTTCTCCCTGACTGCCAGCTTGCAGGGTGCGAGGTGCCTTGAAGCCACAGAGGCACAGTGACAGCAGGGGGCCTGAGGCCTCCATGGAGACCCACACCTGTGGAGCTGAGCAGTGGATGCGGTAGATTGCAGGGTTCAGTGAGCGACCCTGCTCAGAACGTCCCCAGGAGAGGGGTGCGGCCAGCTGAACCCAGCACTCAGAGCTACCATGAGCTGGTTCCACCTTGGGCCTACCAGTGTCTGAGTGAAACACAGCTCTGAGAGATGTTTAGGTCTAGGGGCTGAGATCAAGGCAGCAAGAAACACCTGCAGGGTTGTGGGCTGAAAACCTAGTCACAAAACCACAGCCAGAGACCAGGATTAGCCTGAACCTCTTTGTAGCTGACGTGGCCTCTCACCTATTCCTACCACAGGCTTGAAGGGATTAGAGAGAGCTCTGCCCTAACCCACTACACACTTAATATCTGGGCTCTGTCTGCCTCCCTTGTCTACTAGTGACAGCAGGGACACACCCTGAAATGGATACCACCCCAAAATTGTAGACCCCAGAGTACAGGCACAGGCTTGAAATCAGGAAAACTGCTTTTATTTTTGGCTTGTTTGCAGTTTTTGTTTTGCTTCATTTTTATGCTTTTTTTTTACTGTATTATCCTTCAGTGTGAATACGTTTCTGTTTTATTTTGTCATGCTTTTTTTCTTCCTTCCCTCATATCTCCCTCCTGTCTTCTTAACTGGTTTCCTAACGCTCAGGTGATCTCCCTTTGTCCTTCAGCCTTGATTCTCATCTCTTCCTGTTTTTCTCTATTTTTACCTATCCTTTTTAAATTTTCTCACAAGAGGGTAAGATTACTCAATTGAGGGTATCTTTACTGTATGAAAATTTCTGGTTTGCTTTAGATATTTTTATTTTTTTTTATTTTTTTTAGATTTTTTTTATATAACTACAATTCTTGTTCATATGGTTAAAGGTGGCAAATTAATAGTTACCATAATTTGTCGTTTTCTAGGCTGTG